TTTTACCTTGTGCTTGGAAATCTTTGTGGCCACAGAACTACAGAGGCTTCCAGTTAAAAAATCTGAAGGTAGAGTTTATATTTTTATAGAATTTTATTTTGATGTTTAGAAACTTACAATATTTTCCTCTTTAAAATTATAAGGGACTCTTTTGCTACACCGTATGGGTTGATATTGTCTTTTCTATCTAACATTTCTTATTCAAGATATGTCCAGTTTTCTGTTTTAAAGTAATAGAGATTACTTTAAACTCCTGTAGTTTTAAAGTAATTTTGAAGACACATGATAAACAAACTACCCCCCCCTTTAAATTGCTACTAATATAATGTCTCTAACTTGGGGAATATTTCATTGTTAAGAAATGTAATTTGATTGCCAGATTTACTGTGAAGTAACATTTAGCTGCAAAATGGATAATTTCATAAAAAACCATATTCAGATCTACCAATAAAAAATACAGTTAAGTGTTGTTTGCCTGTGTCAGCATTTTGACTACTAAAGATTTAGTTATATAGAAATCAGTTTAACTGCTAATTGTTTTACACATCTTGCACATAAAGCATGGAGGCGAATATTACTCCATGAATTGTTTGGAGCATGGAGTGATTTTATCACCTCATGGGTTAGAGTTGTTTAACTTCTAGCTCTATAGAAAATACTGTATAAAACTTAGTTAAGTTTTAAGGGACCAGTTTTTAATTTTTTTAAAATGTATTTTATTGATTATGTGATTACAGTTGTCCCATTTTTTCTCCCTTTTCTCCTCCTCTGCCCTGTCCCTCCCCTCCCACCCCACCTTAGTTCATGTCCATGGGTCATACATATAAGTTCTTTGCTTCTTTATTTCCTGTACTATTCTTAACCCTCCCCCTGTCTATTTTGTGCCTACCAACTATGCGTCTTATTCCCTGTACCTTTACCTCTCTTACTCTCTCCCCGCCCCCTCTCTGCTGATAACCCTCCATATGATCTCTATTTCTTTGAATCTGTTCATGTTCCAGTTGTTTGCGTAGTTCGTTTTCTTGTTTTCTTAGGTTCAGTTGTTGATAGTTGTTCGTTGTCATTTTACTGTTTGTATTTTTGATCATCTTCTTTTTCTTAGGTAAGTCCCTTTAACATTTCATGTAATAATGCTTGGTGATGGTGGACTCCTATGTAGATAACTATCTTCTTTCCTCCTGCTGCTTTTAAGATTCCTTATCTTTAATTTTGGTTAATGTAATTATGTTTCTTGGTGTGTGCTTCCTTGGGTCCAACTTCTTTGGACTCTCTTAGCTTCCTGGACTTCCTGGAAGTCCTGTTTCCTTTGCCAGATTAGGGAAGTTCTCCTTCATTATGTTTTCAGTTTTGTGCTGATCCTCTTCTCCTGCCAGCACCCCTATGATTTGGATGTTGGAGGGTTTAAAGGTGTCCTGGAGATTCCTAAGCCTCTCCTCATTTTTTTTGAATTCTTGTTTCTTCATTCTATTCTGGTTGAATGTTTATTATTCCTTCTCCAATTTGTTAATTTGAGTCCTATTTCCTTTGCTTCACTGTTCCCTGTGCATTTTCCTTTATTTCACTTTTTATAGCCTTCACTCTTCCTCTGTTTTGCGACCATACTCAACCAATTCTGTGAGCATCCTGATTACCACCAGTGTTTTGAATTGTGCACTGGTAGCTTGGCTATGTCTTTGTCACTTAGTTGTATTTTTTCTGGAGCTTTGATCTCTTCTTTCATTTGGGCCATATTTTTTGTCTCAGCCCACCCATTACGTTGTAAGTGATGGGGTCTTAGGTATTCGTCAGGGTGGGGCAATCCAGGTCAATGTGTTATGGAGCTGTATGTGGGGGAGAAGGGTGTGAGAGGGAACAGTGCCTCTTGCTCAGCTTTTGGCTGACTTTCATTCACTTCCCCCCATCCGCAATCAGATTGGGCCTTTGTGGTGCTGACTCTGGGGTGAGTGGGTTTGTGTACCTTCTAGGACCCTCAGGGTCTCTCTAACAAACTCTCCTGTCAGACTGGGAGTTTGTCCTGCTGCCTCAACCCTCAAAGGCTTTTTCAGTCAGACGCTTTGAGGCTTCATTTCCCAGCACTGGAACCTTGGGTTGCACAATCTTTCTCACTCCTAAGTTGATCCTCCTAGTTTAGCCCCATGCAAATGCGGGTGTGGATAACTGCCAGCTGCCACCTTGCCTGTTTTGCCAGCTGCAGCCCTGCCTGATTCTCCATCCACAGCCTTGTCGCAAGTCCTCTCTGCCCCTCCTACCAGTCTTTATTAGTGTTTCTTCTTTAACTCCTTAGTGTTGGACTTCCATAGTTTGATTTTCTGGCAATTCTGGTTATTTTTTGTTTTTGAATTTGTTGTTGTCCTTCTTTTGTTTGTGCAGAGAGACAGAGTATATCTACCTATGCCTCCATCTTGGCCGGTGACCAGTTTTTTTTTGTTTTTTTTTTAAGCTGTAGGAAATGTAGAAAACTGGTATTACTTAGTTTTCTTAGTGTACTTGACTGGGAACTTACCTGATACTGACTTCCATTTATAGTTGGTCCAAAGTATGAATTTAATACAGTGTCACTGTCAGTTAGTGTTGCTGAAAATAATTTTCATTTCACATTTCTGTGTTTGTTCAAGTTCTACTCTAAAACTGTAATTGTTGAAGTTTTACCACTTTAAGGAGAATGCTCATTAAGCCTCAGGTATTTTATACCATTTCAATCTGTACATTAGTAACCCACAGATTAGTAAATCCAGTGAGGGAATTTTCATCAGCAATTCTGCTTGTTTCATTTCAGTAAAAGGTATTCTGGGTAATCAAATCGATGTCATGTTTTGAAATATTTTTTTTAATTTTTTAAAAATAAGATTTATTTATCTTTAGAAGGGAAGGAAAGGAGAGAAGGAGAGAAATATCAATGTATGGTTGCTTCTGGTGCATCCCCTGCTGGGAACTGGCCTGCAACCCAGGCATGTGCCCTGACGGGGAATCAGACCTCGATCTTTTGGTCCACAGGCCCATGCTCAATCTACTGAGCTATACACCAGCCAGGGTGTTTTGAAATATTTAAGTTATAATGAAATGAGAGATAAGATGTTTTGGAGCTTTGGACATTAGCATTTTTTTTTCTAATGCATATTTAGACAGATATCATTTAGGGTATAAACTTTAGTTTTAGTTCGTACTGAATAAAACTAGGGAATTTTATATAAAACAAAACCTTTATAAAATGTTAGTTGAACTACTTGTGTATAACTTCAGGGGATTAAGTTTTATATGAAAACATTACCAGATTTTAATAAAATGTATTTTGAATGGATACATATAAGTTTAATATTTCTGCTTTATCTGAATAACCAGTGATTATTTAATCTAGTCATTATGGTTTCAAAAATAATTTAAAAACTAAATTTTATAAAGTATCTACTTTGTTGGTATTCATTAGAGATTTCATATTTTTATAAATAGGAGATTTGTTTTACATGTTTGGTGTACAAAGTACCAAGATTCATATGCCTTATCTTTAGGGGCTGCCCCATTAATGACAGGCATTTTAAGAACTTGTAAAGCAGTGATTTTCAACCTCTTCATCTCATGGTACATACAAACTAACTACTAAAATTCTGTGGCACATCAAAAAAATATATTTTTGCTGATCTGACAAAAATATAATTTTGATTCATTCACAACTGATGGCTGTTGTTGTATTGATTGTTGTCATTTCCTATTTTGACAATCTAAGGGAAAAGAAGTCAGTGTCCCTGAGTAAATAGTCAGGTATTGCATGTTTTAAAAATTCTAGCAGCACACCTGTTGAAAATTGGTGGTTGAAAGTTTACTTGCTGAGCTTTTGTTACTGTTCCTGTTGTAAGAACAGTTGGCACCTAGGGGAAGGTAAAACGTCTTTGAACCAAGTGTCAAAACAGGACTTTCCCACAGGTAATCCTGTTAAGTTGTCAAGCCCATGTACACAGGTACTTCTGGGGTCTTGTCACCTGGTTACTTCCGGCAATTGGTTAATGACAAAGGAGTTGTGCTAATTTGTTTCACTCAATGTCATTTAATTTCCACAATCCTGTAAAAATAGACATTGTTATCACTCCTTTTTGAAAATGAGGAAACTGAGACTGATAGAAGTTGAGTAACTTACCCATAGTGCTGGGACTTGGCTAAATCCTACTCTTAACCATATGGTTTGCTGTACTGTGTCTGTCCCCCATTATGTCTTTTATTGCGCCATGCAGTCAAGTCCGCATTTGCTGTTTCAGTCCTGACCATGCTCATTTTATAAAGGGAGATTGTTCTCTGAGATCAGTCATATCAGAAACTCTTTCATTGTAGGGTCTCTCTTAGAGACTTTTAATGGTTAATTAGAAAAAAAGAGTTATCAGTGTTTAAAAAGACTCACCATTTAATTTTGCCTGGGTTTTGTTAAAATGATACTGTAAAAATATTGGGAGACCCTAGGATATAAAAGACTGAATAGAGAAATTATTCTCTGGTTAGCTGTAAGATAATTTTCCTGCCTCAATTTTCCTGTTTACTTATAGCAATTTTTGTTGATTCTTTAGAATCAACATGAAAAATACTTTTTCACTTCTACTTTTAGCTGTCTTTAAAAATACACAGCAATTACTGTATATATTAGTGAATTGTACATATTTTAAAAATTGAGAGCATAACACAAAAGGGATCAATCATAATGTTTGCATGTTTTCATGTTCATTCACTTTCAAAAATATTTAAAGCTGTTGGTTGCTGAACAGCACTTCTTTTGTGTATTTTCTTAGGGTTTAAAATACTTTACAAATGCAGTTTTAAAACATGATTGGTTTTGTTTGATATATCATATGTAGAGCCTCGTTTTGTTTGACTGTCAGTGCAAATTTTAAAAGTAATGGTAATTGCTTCAAATTATTTTCTTTCAAAATTATATGTTGTCTATCAACTGTTTTATATGATCTGAAATGATTTGCTTGTACACACGCCCAAACTGATATGTCATTATTTTTATTTCACAGGAGCCTTCTAGAACAGTTTCAGGCAGATACAAAAGGTAAGAACCCTTAAGTTATGACTTGCAACATATTGTAGACATGAGTGTAATGTCTGTCTCACCATGGCTTAGCTAACTAGAACTGTTTCAAGGAGCTGTTTGAAAAATAAGAAACCTTTATATTGTGCTTTTAAAAAGAAATAACACTGTAGGCAGGAGTGTAATGTCTGTCTAAACAAGACATATTCTGGCATCCCTTGCAGTCTTTGAAATAGTGGAAACAGTGAGTTTCTGTGGGCCTGATAAACTTAGCAAAATGCAAACTTAGAATCGTTTTCCCTTACGTATTTACTTATTTTTAATTATATTTTATTGATTATGCTGTTGTAGTTGTTCCAATGTTCTCCCCTTTGTTCCCATCCACCCAGCTCTCCACACCATTGTTCACGTCCATGAGACATGTATGTAGGTTCTTTGGCTACTCCATTCCCTATACTGTACATCCCCATGGCTATTCTGTAACTACCTATTTGTACTTCTTAATTGCCTCACCTCTTTACCTATTCCCCCATAACACTTTCTCATCTGACAACCATCAAAACACTCTCCATATCCATGATTCTGTCTCTACTTTTTGTTTTCTTATTTTTTTTTTTAGGTTCAATTGGTGATAGATACATCTTTATTGCCATTTTGTTGTTCATAGTTTCCTTCTTCCATTTCTTCTTCTACTTCTACTTCAACAATTCCCTTTAACATTTCATATACTAATGGTTCGGTGATGATGAACTCCTTTTTAGTTTTTTCTTATCTTGGAAGCTCTTTATCTGCCCTTTGATTCTGAATGATATCCTTGCTGGGTAGAGCAGTCTTGGCTATAGGTCCCTGCTTTTCATGACTTTGAATATTTCTTGCCAGTTCCTTCTTGCCTGCAAAGTTTCTTTTGAAAAATTAGCTGACAGTCTTATGGGAACTCCCCTGTAGGTAACTAACTGCTTTACTCTTAGGGCTTTTGAGATTCTCTGTTTATCTTTAACCTTTGGCATTTTAATTATAATGTGTCCTGGAGTGGGTCTCTTTGCATCCATCTTATTTGGGACTCTCTGTGCTTCCTGGACTTGCATGTCTATGTCCTTCACTAAATTAGGGAAGTGTTCTTTCACTATTTTTTCAAATAGATTTCCAGTTTCTTGCTCTTTCTCTTCACCTCTTGGCACCCCTATGTGGCGTATGTGGGAACATTTGAAGTTGTCTCGGAGACTGCTTACACTATCCTCACTTTTTTTGGATTCTTTTTTCTTTTTGTTCTTATTGGTTGTTTTTTCCTTCCTTATGTTCCAAATCATTGATTTGATTCTCGGCTACATCAACTCTACTGTTGTTCTTTATTTCAATTAGTATATGTTTAGTTTCTGACTGGATCTTTTTTATGCTTGAGGTTCACTAAGTTGCTTGAGTATCCTTATAACCAGTGTTTTGAACTCATCATGTGTTGCTTTTTTCTGGAGTTTTGATCTGTTCTTTCATTTGGGTTATGTTTCTTTGTTTCCTCATTTTGGCAGCCTCCCTGTGTTTGTTTCTATATATTAGGTAGAGCTGCTTTGACTATCTTTATAGGATGGCCTGATATGGTAGGTGTCCTGTAGGGTCCAGTGGCACAGCCTCCCCCATCACCCAAGCTGGGTACTCGAGGTGCACCCTTCTTGTGGGCTGAGTATACTTTACTCTTAGAGTTGAGCCTTGATTACTCTTGGCAGGTCAGTGGGAGGGATTTACTCAGGCAAGTCAGCAGCAAGAACTGGCTGTGATCACTGATCACCAACCTCCACCCTCCCTGGAAGATCAGCTGTGCATGGGCAGGGTGGTGATGCTCTAGCATGGACTGTGTGAGTAGGCCCAGGGGTTTTCCAGGTGGTGCAAGCCAAGGTCAGTCCCCTCTGTGTTTTTCCTGGGGCCATCTTGCCTGAGCTATACAGCGGTCTGAGATGGCTGCTACTTGAACTGGGCTTGGAGATTCCGAGGCAAAGCCAAGCTGTGAATCTAGGCTGGCTACTGGGATCACTTAGTGAAAGATATAGGGGCTGGGGGCTCACTGAGGCTAACTGTTGCTTGTCTGAGAGAATTTAGGAAATTGTGAAGCTTGAGCCCAGACCAGCTGTTTTCTATATGGGTAAGCTACTGTGAACAGCTGTAAGTTGGGGGGCAAACCACAGTGTTAGCCAGATTGATGAAGTCTCAAATATGGCACCCACCAGCTGGCTCTGTGGCTTTTGGGGAGAGGGTTCAGAAAACGGACATTGGCCTCTTCCCACCTTTCTGTCTGGGAGAAAGCTGTCTTGAGCTCTCCCCTTGCTGTAAGACATTTCATTTCCTTCCTGTATGCCACTGGTGCCTTTCAAGCTGCATCTCTGGTGCTGGAGCTCAGAGGGAGTCTTGAGTAAGTCTATGTGTGGGTTCTTTGAAAGGAACTACTTCGAATTCTAGAATTTTTCTTCCACCAACTGAGTCCCCACTGATTTTTCCAGCTAGAGTTGTGGGGACCTATCTTCCTGGCACTGTAACCCTCGATTGGGGGGCCTGGTGTGGGGCTGGTACTTTTTGCTCATGAGATATCCCTCCTGAATTTTTATTCCCTACCTGTGGTATGCGACCAGTCTGTTCTGCATCTCTGCCCCGCCTACTAGTCTGGATGGGTGTGGTTTCTTTAATTCCATGGTTGTCAGAGTTCATTCAGCTCAATTTCTGACAGTTCTGAGTGATGGTTGTTCTGTAATTTAGTTATAATTTTGATGTGGTTGTGCAAGGAGGTGAGCCATGTTTACCTATGCTGCCATCTTGACTGGAAGTCCCTCTTCTGCATTTGAACATTGAAAATACCACCTGTCTTAGTCAGCTTTGACTACCATAACAAAAATACAGTAGACAGGATTGTGTAAAGGAATTTATTTTCTCACAGTCCTGGGGGGGCTTTAATGTCCAAGATCAGTTTGCCCCCATGGTTAGGTTCTGATGAGGGTTCTCTTCCTGACTTTCAGGTGACTGCCTTCTTGCTGTGTCCTCAAATGTTGGAGAGAGGTTGGCTGCTGACATGCCTCTTTTTATAAAGATGCTAATCCCATTGTTACAGCCCTACCCTCATGACCTCATTTGAACCTAATTACTTTCCAAAGGGTCTGCTTTCAAATAACATCATTACGTAGGGTGGTAGGGCCTCAGCATATCAATTTTATTCAAAGTAGCATAGACCAGGTAGCTTATAGACAACAGAAAGTTATTTCTCACAGTTCTGGAGGCCGGAATTCAGACATCAGAGTGCCAATTTGATCAGGTTCTGGTCAGGGCCCTCTTCATTTTGCTGACTAACAACTTCTTGCTCTGTCCTCACGTGGCAGAAAGGGTTAGGGAGCTCTGTAGGCCCCTTTTATAAGAGTTTCTGTTCTGTTCATGAGGACTCCACATCTGTGACCTAAGCACCTCCCAAAGACCCCACCTCCTAACACCATCACAGTGGGCATTAGGATTTGACATGTGAGTGGTGGGGTGGGTGTGCAGTGCACAGACACTCAGACCATAGCAAGTCCATAGCAGCACCTTTGCACAATGAGTAATGTTTTTTTCTAGAAAATGTATTTGAGTGTGTTTGCACATGTGTAGGAAGACAGTCAAAATTAGGTATGAGAAGTTGTTTAATGGGATCACCTGAGATACTCACTTTCTTCTTCCCTGTTGAAGCCATAAAGGTTGTAGAAGATGTCACCATGCTTGTGCTAATAATTACCGAAAAATTGTAAATCTCATCAAGTGCTTTACATAGAGGTCTCATTCAAGTCTCATAGTTACAAAGTACAATATTTCATTTCATAGATGAGTGGTGGAAGAGGTGGAATAATTTTGCTGGGTTACAAAGCTGGTCAACAGCAGTATCTAGATTTAAACTCAAGCAACTCGACTCCAGAACCCACATGCTTACACAAGACCTTTTCCCTACAGTTATACATATGAAACTTTCGTTTTCCTCTACTTGTATGTTAAAGTTTAAAATGTTTGGTTGAAAGTTTTAGTTATTCCAACTAAAATAAAACATTGATTAAGAAGAGTTCTCATTTTAATACTAAGTTATATATAAATAAAACTTAATTTTGAATTTTTACCATGGGCCATCATGTCTGTTAGTGGTAGAAAGAGATAAGAAGGCCGAGATAATGTCAGTTAAATAAGCAATGGAAACTGTTTCCATTGAACTGTTAATATGTTTGCTGGTGCTACTGCTTTTACTTCCACTTCAATATAATTTTGATTTAGGTATAATGAATCCTGGGATGCTTTTAAACTTCTAATATTTGTGCATTGCTTTGTCATTTTTTTAAACTGGAAAGAACCCTTTTTTTCTTTTGCATGAAACCATCGCCAAATAGCTTTGATTTGTCCTATTTTGTAGCCACATTCTAAACCAAAAAGGTTTTATCAGTTTTGATTTGGGAAGTAAAGATAAACTTCAGTAACTTGTCAAATTTGTCGTATGAATTATATACCTATTTAAGTAAACCTTAAATCATGATTAACACTTTGCAGATGTTATTTTTATAAACATTTTATTTTTCAATTACAGTTAACATACAATATATTAATTTTAGTGCATAACGTAGTGATTAGACATTGATACCATCTGACACCATACATCAGATTTGTATTCAATTAGAATCAATATGGGAATAGTTTTCTTGTAAATGCTTGCCATAACCTTTACATATTAGAAAGTTAAATGAGGAAGAAAATTAGTTTCCAGTGGTGTATGTTTTTATTTTTAAGCTTTTAAAAAAAGACCAATATTTTACTTGTGACTTGTTCATATAGTTGTACTTTTTATTTTCGTAGCCTAGAGTGTGTGGCTTGTCACTTTCCAGCTTTCAAAGGTTTGACCATGTTTAATACTGTTATAAAACAAAAAATTTTTTAAAAATTTGTCATCCACATGACTCACAGCAACTTACAGTTGGGATACAGAGAAAAAAAGATACTTAAACATAAGCCTTAGAATCTATATCTGAAATGATCAATTC